GTGGTATATTGATAAAAACTTGAAGGCCACGAACTTTTTTTCCAGGATTTCCAGCAGCACTTGGTGCACGGTACCCGTACAATGATTATGATACAAAATTACTGATGAGCCAGCCAGCCGTGCATCCCTACTGCTCGTATCCAGCTGCACCTGCGGAGTCACAATACTGCTGTCCAGGCGTACCCACGCAGACCTATTTCGGGCAGCAGTCAACAAGCGCTGAGCTGATGCCGTCGTCCGCTGCTATTCAGGCTTATAATAGCGCTATCGCAGAATTGCCGAAGTAAAAAAGTTTTTTTTTCGATATTTCAGCAGACTGAAAAATCCGAATATAAATGTAATGGGTTATTTCCTGCGACGGGTTCTAAACGCTTTTTATACAATAAATTACAAATATAAACTGCAGAAGTAAAATGTGAAACGAAAGAATCAAGACGAATGAAGAGTGTTTGATTTAATACAGACAGCACAAAGTAAATGCGCCAATCTTATTAGTTTATTTTCTTTTAAATATAATCGTTTATTTCCTAGCAGCTAAAGCACCTCATAGTGGTCTGTGAGTGATAACTTTCGAGATGAGTTAGCGGTACTCAATACACCACATATGCAATTCAAAGCAGCGAAAATCCTTGCAAATGTTTCTGTCAGGAATACCGTCAAGTGAGCAGTAATCTCTTCCGGTGACGAAACGGACCTCAGGATCATCAGCAGGATGATCATCAAGCGAAGATTGATCGGGGTCATTTCACCTCGAAAGCTGCCGCCTTACTGACTGGGAGTATTCCAAAAAATCTGAAATATTTACGATTCGGCCATCTAAGGTGACAGTAATGCAACTGGAACTGAACCGAAGAGATACGGTATCCTAGCGCTGCAGCGTTTTTGTTTCAGTGGTTATGATGCCTTCCGGAATACTGGTTTTGATGCATTTGCATCTTATCAAATGCCGCAACAGCCTGTCGCTGATGGCAGTAACCTCGGCGTTTTTCCATCCCAAACGGTAATTATCTAGTTTTGTTGGTTTCGACTGAAATGTGGAAAATTCTAGGAAAATGCTGTCCCATATTATTATTAAGTTTGTTATCATTGTCATTAATGTCACCATTATTATTACTATTATTATTATCATCAATATCCATGTCGTTCCTGTCGACATCATCATTACAATTACCGTTATTATTATTATTACTCTTGTTATTACTATCAACTTAGTCACTACGTGTAGTTGGCGTACGTTGAGCATCATGGATCACGATGAGGTACCTTACTGGCTAGAAGATACATTTATATCAATAATACCAAAACCGCCCGTGCATCAAGTTTTAGTGTTTCAGAGAAGCTATTTGTATAATGACATAGAAACACCCCAACAGCAAAAATGTGGAGGAAAATGATGCAGAGGAATTTTTGAAAAAGCGTTGCAAGTGCACATTGTGTGGAATCATGATTTTAATCGTAATTTTTGCAGCTGATGATTTCGCAGCCGTCGGCGTCTGCCCGGACATCACCGAGTATCACAAGCCCAACAATATTACAGTGTCATCGCTGCGCTTGCTACGCTTCAAATCTTTGGGATGGATTTTGTGCAAAGTGTGCAACCGGTGTCATGGCGCAGTACGGTAGCAGTAACATCATTGGCACCACCAGTAGCATCACAAATCGACCCGAATTGATGCATGTAATTTATTTTTTTGAAACTGCTAGGCCTCACAATGATTTTTTTTAAGCCAAACAGATCGAAAATCGCAAAGACCTTGATATTTTGCTCTTTAGAGGCTAAAAATTTCGAAAACCTTAGCCTTTTGTAACTCGCTGATCAAGAACTGGGAAGCATTAGCACAAAAAATTTTGGTACGTTTGTCAATCTCATATTCAAAAAGCCGAAAGAACATTGTTTTTGTTTCCTCTCACTTTTTTCAGTCCCGTAAGCGTTCGGGAAGGAGGTCGAGTAAGGAGTGAAAATCAAAAGAGGATGTCGAGTAAGGAGTGAAAATCAAAAGAGGCGGAATGTGAAAATTTTAAATTCCTTAAGAAAATACTTCACTATGAGAGAGATAAATGTATTCCTTGACACTTTGGTTAGCTGTTACCTCATCGTTGCTTTACTTCTCGCCAGTGATGCAGCTGATAAAAACTCCATTTTTTATTTCGAATCATTCTTTCCCATACAATTCCATGCAGCCGCTCGAAAACGAATTCATACGAACAGAAAAAAGTGCTAGAAAACCACCCATTTTCGAAAAAACTCATTTTTTACTTTTTACGCAAAAAAATATTTACTTCCTATCCTGGTCTCTTTTTAACTGACTTTCGAGCTTTTGCCAAAGTAAACACTCAGCACAAAATTACTTGAAAAGTACGAAGTATACTATGATCCAAAAAAAATACTTTCATTTGTTGCAGCGCTAGAACACTCATAAAAGAATGTCAGGTTTAAGTGAAGAACGATTTTTTGACCCAGCAGCGGTGCCATGTTCTGGATGAATGCTTTTTTTTCGGAACCTGTCACTATTTTGATGTGTGAGATACACACATCAAAATTATCAAATTTTCACTAATTTTGATCTTATCAAATTTTCACTAATCTTAATTTGTTACAGCCCGGTGCTCAGTACATACCATCATTGAGCCAATCTTGTACGGTGGCGGAAAATGGTATACATACCCCTGTTATTACACAGCCACCGAACATTAGCCGAAGTAGCACTTCCAGTGCTCGAAATAAGCAACTGCAGCGAAGAAGCCAGGTTGCTTTTAGTATTGAGACAAAAATTTTTTCCCTCATCTCTGCCAGTTTTTTACCTTCCCTCCCACCTTCGCCAATTTTTCAACTTTTCCCTCTCAGTTCTGCTGAATGCTCAAATTAATTCACTTTAATTTTCTTAAACACAGATTTTGTGCTCATTAGTAAGAATTTTCATTAAATATCCCAGAACCTTGTTTTTTTCATGGCCATAATTGAGTTTAAGGCCAGCTACATCTGGAGAAAGTAACCATCTCCACTGTGGCAGGCATTTATGCTTTGACAAATCTCTTTATCATAGAGAAGTAATAGAACTTGAGGAGCATATCGAGTTGTGCATAGCAGTAACCTGCCAGTATTTACGATCTCCACATAATATTTAGCTTTTGCGAAAGCATCTCAAATGGGTTTGACATAACTGCGTTCGGCGTGTGATAGCATTCTAGAAATATCATTAGCACGGATTACCCAAACCCCCC